TTTATAAGACCAGAAGTGCTTGAATAAAAAGCAATGTTAACTTCTACAGCATTGATAGAAATTGATGATCATGTATGTCTGAATAAAATTCAGAAATTCTATCAACTTTTTGTAAAATAACTGCTTTACATTTTCGCAGTTCTAAATAATTATGCTCTCTAGACTCTTTCCTAGATAGGAAATTCTATTACATAGTGAGTCTTTTTACTAAATTCCCTTTGAATAACTTACTGTTTTAAAATACATTGGTCAAATTTTCTTTCATTACTTTCAACAGAAGACCAAATAAAATTTGACCAAAATGTTTATGCTGCTTCTTGGAAGTTTCTGTCTATACATAATGGGAAACTTCTGGACAACCTCAATTATCCAAAAACGTTTGTACAGAGTCAACACAGTAAAACAGGAAAATTTTTTGATACAAAATTCCAACAGGGAAAGTGCCAAAATTCAATAAGCAATATAATTTGAGCATTACTGCAACAGGGTACAGGATATGCAGGTCACTGTGATCCATGCTGAAAGTTTTACAATTTATGATTAAATAAATGTATCTGGTCCTTCAAAATATGAAAGTCCTTCAAAATATGAAGGACCAGATGCATTTTCACTTCGGACACCACGACACCACATCACTGTCCGGCGGATCTTTATTAACATGCTAATATAGGACCAGAGGCAAATGGACCTTTTATAGATGAGAAGAAAGGAGGATGGATAAACATCTTCTCATTCTTTTCTAGTCTCACAAGGAGGAATGGCTCACATGGACTGTAGGCCACAACACACACATCTGACATCATTCTCAATCTCACAACAATTCCCTACAAAGACCAGTGAAGCTGAAGGAGAAACACTTAACTTTCACTCAAATTCAATGAAACAAGAAACAAAGTGTTCCTAAAAATTTGCCCTTCTGCCAAGGGAAAGCACACAACAAAATGTTCCCTCATCCCCAATAACGGCCTAAGTAAACTATGGTTGTGCACAGCAAAGCCAACTGCACACCAAAGGACAACTGTGCAGGCTATATGAAAAGAGATCAGAAGAAAAGGGGAAGGGAATGTTAAAAAAAGAGATAATGATGTCACTCACAAAGAGTGACATAAAGGGGAGTAGCAGAGCATGAACTCTATCACCACCTCTGCCACAACCATCTTTCTTGGGAAAAAATTCTTAAACTCTCTTTGGCCTTCATCTGCAGAATGCTGCTATTTCCTTGTTTGACACAGATAATGCCAACTGCTCAGTCACAAAATTTCTACAGAAAGATATGCACTTCCACTGAATAGCATGCAACTCTTTTTAACTTCTCATTTATAACAGTTTGAATGAACCGCTTTAAATGAGACGCAGGGCTGCAAATGAACAGTGAATATAAACCTAAGTATTAAATGACTGCTTCCTTTACTAAGTTCTGCCATTCCTGTGCAGTGAATGAGGCAGGGATCTTGTGGAAAAAAATAGAATGTAAATCTATAATTAAATACATATGCACAATAGGGAAAAAATTAAAGAGCACGAAGAACATTAATTTGGGCATTTCCTAATTCCTTACTGCTTCATTTTACAGTTACAAATTAGTTGCTGTCCTCCCACTCCTTACAGAAAGAAAATTCATTTCAAAAATAAATATTTTGGAATGTGGAATAATTTAGAGGAGAAACAGGACACATCACTGAGTAACTTCAACAGTGGATGAGACAGAAACCTCATATGTTATTCTATATGCATCCTTTCCTATGCACATGTATCGACCCTGTTTTACAAGCCTCTGTAGATATATCAGGACTGAAATACCATACAAACTGCATATGCATCAATCCAATAGAATAATGGGAATTATCAATTCAGCAGAAGCTTCCACTCAGATTAAATGCTTTCATTCTTCAAGCCAATGAAATATTTGAGGTTGCTTAGTTTAACTGTGCAACATATCCCATTCACAAAATGAAACTACAAAAAACCCCAAAGTTTCACTGAAGCAGACTGGCAATCAAGGAGATGCTTGCTTTTAAATACCAAGCTTTCATCACCTTCAATTGAAATGCTAGAGCTCTTCATGAGAACAGCCAAAATCTCAGCTACCTGAAAAGCTACATTTCCCCCAATCTGTTTCTTGTTGTGGTTTTTTGTTTTTAATGGCTTATCCATATCTAATAAAATTTTCAGGAAACAGGATTTGTTCCTTGCCTGGACTCACTGGTACCAAGTTTCAGCTGAAATGACAAACTGAGCGAATTTTAAGAATCTGAAATAACCCATGGAAAAACTTGAGTAGCTTTAGTACAGGCATTGCAACTTATATCTCTTTGAAAATAAAAAGTGTTTACAAAGTTCAGCACAAAGTTTAAAACATATACACAGAATTTTATGCTGGTTCATTATTAGAAAGAATGGATTATTAAGAACAAAGCAAAGCGATGGCTAACTGCAATCTGTCATCAGAGAATCTAAATTCAATCTTGTGTACTAGAATGCTGCTCCTGCTACAGAAATACATTTAGATCTAACAACCTAAAGCAGTTTTCTAATTTCCTCACTCATAGCAGGTATCTATTATTAGTAATAGAAGTTAGTTTTCCAAATGGGGCATGTGAATTTATCTTTTCTGACTTTAGAAAGAACAAATACTTTAAAACAAACATACTGAAAAAGTGCTGTTCACTGCTTTAAGTATGTATTTTCTGACACGACATTCTGTTTCATGGTTGCGCTTTTAAAATGTCAAATGATCAGAGTAAGAATTTCCATGCATTTTGGATAAACAGTAAGTAAACAAGTTTAGAACAGGGACTTAAAGGCAAAAAGCACAAGCAAAACATAATACAGATGTTAAAAATATTACAAAAATAAATTATCTCAGAAAACCCAAACTACTACTGCTTTATGTATCAGGAGACATCTCTATCAGGACAAGCCTAAGCTAATGAGAGGCGCTAGTTAGTGAACAGATATAAAAATTATTTCAGTAGTATGTATTTTAAACCCCGATTCAAAAGCTCCTCAAAATCTGCGATCAGTGAAAGAACTCAGTCTACAGGTGTAGGATCTGTCCTCTCTGGCTATTAAGAAGTTAAGTTCACTCAGCATTTTTATTTTTAACTGGAGAGCCTTGAAGTCACAGTTTAGACTTCTTTCTTATTCCGCTTTTGTAAAAATGACGATACTTAGAGAGGTGGCGAATCTTTTGGTCTTTTAAAGGTAATAGGGAAGATAGATAGCTACAGGCAGGTTAAAAATCCCTATACATGTGTAGCAACTTGTTTTTATACATTTTTAAACATAACGCTCCCCTATCTTTCCATCAAATACTATTATAAGCTGCTTTTGTTGAATATTTCTAGCAGCCTATTGTACACAGTGCATCATAAGCTGCATGGCCTGAGGCCAGGAAGGAAAGTGTGGAACACGTCTTCACAGGTCGATTTCCACTCTCCAAGTTTTCAAGTATTTGAGAGAAGGTCATGTTACAGCACAGATTTACATAGCAGACAAATTACATGACTGCCCGTTCTCAGCATTTCATAATTTCAATAAAAAATTAGGTCAAATGAAAGGGGGGGAGAAAAACCCTATCCTATCACAGTAGTCAGAAAATTAAACATAAAACTTCCTTAGCTGTGGTTCTTGCCAAAACATTGGTAAAAATCTGCACTGACAGTAAACACAAGTTTAAAGTGTTTGATTTACCATTCCTTTACAAAATCCTTTTCTTTCTTAATGCCTCAAAACAACCATAAACAAACCCAAAATGTGCTGTATTGCTCTTTTAAAACATTTTTTATTATCATTAGCCCAAAACATATATATTTTTACAAACATGCATACTATCAAGGAATGTGTTATTAATTTCAATATCTTTCACCCACAGTCCGATAGTCTAGTAGGAGTGTTAAGAGAGAGAACTGCTCTTTGTATTGTCTGTCCGGATGAAAAGTATAATAATTTGGAATAGCTTTTCCCCCCCTCAGAGGCTGAAATATAGTGCACTTTAAAAAGGGCAGCATTGGCCAGCCTGACATTACGTTATACTAGATGGAAACTAAAATTACAGTGTTTATATCTGGCATTCTTTGAGTACAAACTGGCAAAACAATTAATTTTAAAAGTTTTTTTAGAAAATGATACTATGGTATTTCAGGATAACAACATAATACTTTCCAAGAGCAGTTAAGGATATCATAACGTGAAACAACAAATTTAAAAGTGTTTAGGTATGTATCCATATATCTGTATTTCTCTTAGCTTACAAGACTGATACTTGCACACAAACTCCTACCAACATCATATAGTGTACATTTAAAATATGCCAATCATTATCCTAGATAGCTTTCAGGATTTGTTTCAACACACTCAAGCAGTTGTAGGGTTTAGACTGGCATACTGCTGATACTCTTACTGAGCAAGCAAAAAGAATAAACATTAACAGAGAAATTACTAGCTTCAATAACTTCAATTGGACTTAACATTATTTCAGTTTCTAAAAATGACAAATATGAAATCTGATTTACTGTCAGCAGTAAGAAAAAGTTTTAAGCTGATGTATTTTTAAAAAGGACTGTAGTTTTAAGGAACTCCTGAACAATTTTTTGAAGACAGATTCACTGTGTTAGCTAGATTTTATGTGCATTTGATATCTATTCAACAAGCAAAAAGAAGAAACAGAACTTTTTGTGGAATCTGACATTTTCTCTATTTACCTACACAAACTCTGAGGGATGAATTTTACCAAAAGCTTCAGCTTAGCATGTTGTAGCCCTGCAGCTGAAAATTCAGATGAAAAATATGGGAGTTTTTTTTCTATGACACAAAAGGAACTTTTGGGAACAGTTCCGAAGGATACCAGAAAGCTTGTCTAACACACAATGGTTCCTACTCAGCACAGCCCTCCAAACAAAGACTAACAGATGCACAACTGGTATTAATAACAAAGCATCTCCTCCCTCTGTTAGTCAAGAGAGGACAGCTAAGGACAAATACAGTTTCAGGGTACTTACCTACTCGGAAGTTAGTGGCTGTCAGAGTGTCAGCAGCATGGCCATTTTCACTAATGAGGGTGGTGGTATTTCCCTTCTCACAGTTGTTCTGACAGTTGCCTTTGGTACAAGTCACTTTACAGATGCTGGGTGTAAAGACCACCTTGATGCGACCAGTGTGATTTCCCACTGTCAGCGGAGGCAAAGAAAAAAAGAAAAATAAACAGATCACTTTGGTATCCATTGATTTCCTTCAAAAAGTTTTTGGGAAAAAAAAAAGGCGGGGGGGAGAAAAAGGCGACAGGTCTACAGGAGGAGGGCAGTCTGCAGTGCTCTCTCTCATAGATCTCCAGTGGTGTCTCTGAAACAGGAGTAGGAAGCTTAGCAAACAGAACTCCGGGATCCGCTCCAAAACCACATTTAAAGTCAAGTCACTGGAGTGGGATTAGTAATCACAATGCTGCACTTTATTCACAGGCAGACAAAGAGCAATACCAAGGGCATGACAGCTTAAATAGCCAACCCTGACAGGCAGATGTAATGTAAAGAGGCTGGCTGTGCACCTAGGGGTGAATAAACTCTTGTGTCCTCCTGCATACTTTTCCTGTTTCTGCACTTATTAAGTCACTATTTGTAGCTCGACCCCTGGAAATGTTTTAGGCATGCGGCATGTCTGAAAACATCTGTCTCAAATCTCCTGGCACCCCAGCCCGAAGTGGTCAAGCCTTGTGACGCAGCTGCCTGGACCCATTTTTTCACAGTTTTTTGGCACTATTTTTTCCACAAGGATTTACATATTATAGACTGAGCTTTGCTGTCAGCCTTTCTTTAAGTAATAAATAAGTCAAAGAAAAGGGTGAGTAAGTATCAATGCTTGAAAATACTGATTCTGAGCTCAAAGATAAAAAATGACTAGATTCTCTTTTTTTATATACTTCCTTACAGTCATTTAAAAAACTTGAACATAATGAAGACTGAGCAAACACGAATTTTAAACTAAGCTAATTAAAAGAACTTCTTGTTACAGAATTTGATTTTAAAACAGATGTATTTGATTCCACATCTAACAGCTGAAGACAAAAAAGAGATTAAAACTACTCATTTGGAAAATTAGGGGAAAAGAACAGATTCAATTTGCAATTATTTAAAAAGAAAACAGTTTGTCCTCTGCACCCTTACTAATAAATTCAGCAAGTTTTTGTAAATATATCACAGCATCTTTGTGGAAACTATTAATAAATACTTTCATATCAAACCTAACAATCCCAAGAAATGACGCACAGAAAGAGAAGAATCTCCTTCTTCCTCATGTCATAGAAATAAAAAAGTTGCTGGATAGTTGTCTAACCTAGTTTATGAAATACCCTCTAGACATACATTTTTTTGAAAATCTCAAGAAAATGAAGAAAATCTTCCCACTTCAAAAGAATATAAAGCCTTCTTATTTCTGCCTCTTCATAAACAAATAAATTAAAACAACTGTACCAACTGTTTTGTCTACAGTAAAGGCATTGCTCTATTTGAACAGCAGCTGTAATACAGATGCTCCCACCTTATTCTCCCTAACCAATAGTTAGAAAAAGCACAGCCCAGACAGACTCAGGAATAAAATATTTCAATTAAAGGCTAGTATTGTGATTTTAGTCGATTTAGAAGACACCCTGGATTCTTGGATGCCAAGCATTTCTTACAAATATCATTAATATACCTTTCCCAATGAACAGACATAAGTGGCTTGTGAACTCTGAGGCTAGAACTTCTAAGCTTTCATTTTGTTAAACAGAGCTTCACAAGCAATACTGCCATCTTTGTATTTTATTTGCATAGTTTCATATATATCTTTTCCTAGAAAAGCCGAATCCATTTTATATTTTCAGATATTTTACTAACATTTTTCCTTTAGGATGTGATCTAATTAAAAAAACATGGTTAGTTGAGTCGCAAAAGTCAGTCCTGCCTGCACTGTAAAAACTAGTATTGGGAGATGCACACAAATTTTCCAGCTTAACTAAAAAAGAAAAAAAAAAAAAAAAAATTTGGCTTTGCCAGTATGGATGGAACTAAGCCACTATTTAATTCTCCTTCATAGTATTCTGCATTATGTTGTTGAGTCCTGAGCTGTAACCAAATTTGGGCACAATGTTTAAAACAGAAAAAATCTTATTTTTAAAATAATTTTTATCACATAGTTCAGATTTTACCAGAAAAATTCTGTAGCATAATTTTTTTTGGTAGAAGAGACACCTTAGTATGAGATTGAATGGAAATTAAAAATTTGCCTCTCACCCCTTTTGGGTGAGAAAATGTTAGCATGTAAGTTTGGGAGTAACAACATAGGAACAGCAGTTGAACAGTACCTTCAACAAAGGCCAGTATCTACAGAGGTAAAGAGAATCCATGAAAGAATATTTAAATGCAGCTTTTCAGGGAAGTAAGAAGTCTGAAAAAGATCATGATGTAAGCCCTAGCCTCTACAAATATTCAAATCATTATTCAGCAATGCTTTTGCTATAAAACAAATTAAATTCTCAAAGACATTCCTGTTTTACTAGTTGCAAAGAGCCAGAAATAAGACAGCTTCGTATTCTTTTGACATGGGAAGATTTTCTCCATCTTTCTCGTATTTATGAAAAATATAATGAAACTATTATTTTCTTCTCCTTGCCTAGCAGACCACAGCTTTTAATCTCCTCAATTCTTCTGGACACATTTAGGAAGAATACAAAGCTAATGATGGCCTCTGAGCTGAAAATTGACCGGTGTATGAGGAGATGATTCAAGGCAGAGACATTATCTTCGTCCTTCTATGTAGTTGTACCTAAGTAGACAGTACTATCCTCACACATCCTAAGGTTTAGGGACCTTAACAGTGAGCATAATACAAGCAGATTTAAATTGAAAACAGACCACAGACCCTTCTCTTGAAAGGAAGCTTTTGGCAGAAACTCTGCTAGGTTAGACTCTTGGACTTCCTTGAATCCTCTCCCTTTTTTCTCTTCTGTAGTTTTGTGTTTGGTTTTTTTTTTCCCTCTTCTCCAAAGAGGGGATGATTTAATTCTAAATGAGAAACTATATCCTTCGATATCTCTTACCTGGTTTGGCAGTATTAATGTTAAAAGCCACAATTTCAAGCTAGAAAAAGCCCATTACTGCTATAGCCTTGACCTCTTTTGGTTTTGGGCTAGTTCATATTAAAGAAGGACAGTACATTTTTAAGGTAGCATACAGATTATTTTCCTCTTTAAACTCCAGAAGCTTTACTGATGATGCCACTGTGACATACACATGACAAGATCTGCAACTTAGATTATCTCAAATTCATTTCTGGAAAAAAATGATGGGTGCTACAGCACTGTAATGCACCTGGAATAATTTTTTTTTTTTTAAATATATATAGACAGAAATGTATCATAAATTCTTCAAAGCCAATTGTAAACATGTGCTCTTAAGTATAGCACCAGACTGAAGAAATACAAATGTAAGACCAGATAAATAAATAAGCCTAATGAAAGACAACAAAAGCAGAAGATACAAACACCGAGTAAATAGCAAAGCTACTGAAAAAATGGCAGAACTAGAGATAAACTCAGATTGTTGTTTTAATAAAGATAAGACAATCAGGATTACTAATACTGGGTTAAGCTTCATCCCTAAGGTAGGCAGCAAATTCACAATGAGGAGGCTTAGCCAACGGCGCCATCATCCTGCCTCATAGTCCAGGCCCACTTATACCTAAGAACTCTAAGATACATTTGTCAAAGGAGATCAGTGGAAGGACGTACCCATAATTTCCAAAATCTGTGAAACTCTCTTGAGCCAGATTCAAAAAAGAAAGATGCCTGGGTAAAGTGATGAAATTTTAGTTGAAAACTGGCACCGCATCTATGTGATTCGCTTTCCATCTCTGTAAGTCACTATGATATAATATGAACATGGCAAGCTCCTGCTGTGATAAATTTATGATTTAACAACAACTGCAGGAGAAATGGAAAATATAAGCAAAAGGATTTCTTCATAGAATCTCTTCTGCCCCTGCTGTCCATCATGAAAAACTGGGGGTTTTTTTCTGCATTAGCAGAAAAGGTGAATGAGTTAAGACAAGACAGGTGGCAGGTTTTAGGTCCAGGTGGTCACAATGGCTCACACAGCCATGCCTGGGCAGAGTTGTATTAGGGGAAGGATTCCTCCTCAACCTCCTGGGTTCCTTTGTCTGTAATGCTACTCAGCCTTCGTTTCTTTCTAGAAGAATTTCTATAAACACATTTTTTTCTTGGTTTTATGGCTGCCCTCACAGCTCCAGCATTCTGCAAAGATTTAACTAGACAGTATTCAATAGCTGTAGTGGATCTCAGAAGATTTGTGGCATGTCCCTGTTTTGCAGGAAGACAATGGGCTAGCAACACTAGTGAAAGCAGAACTAGTATTCAGTTAAAAAGATGACTACACTGTACTGTCTCATAGGTCAAGTGGGGCAAAAAGAAGAAAATATTTTAATGTGTTGAAAAAATTATGTTATTGTGCATATGATGTTTTTGTGCTTCACAGTGACCTAATCAAAAGGATTCACAATAAAATTTACAAGCAGTGGCTTGTAAATACTGTGGACTCAGATGGTAGAGCTTACACATACTTCTCCCATAATCCTTGCACAAAACGTCTTTCTGACTCTTTAGAGGGGTTTGTGGGGGTTTTGTTGTTGTTGTTTTTTGGGGGAAGGGATTGTTTGTTTGATTTTGGTTTTGTTTTTTTTTTTTAAATACCTTCACTTATGACAAATATCCTGAGGCAAATCTCTTGAGAAAACAGAACTAAGCAAACTGTAGGCTTTCCATTAGTACCTCCAAGAATGATATACACTACTTTGTTTTCATGACACCCTACTTCTGCACTGAGCCCAGTGTGTTTTCATATGTGTATCTACACAGAATCTCATCAGACCTGAAGATTCTATCTTAAATTACATTCTCTTCCCAAAGACAATAGATTAACTAAGGCAATTTCATGTTTTCAAATGATAACCATGATGCACGAGGAGAACTTTGGAATGAAAATTTGTCTTCTTAAATCAAAGCCAGTAAGCTGTTAAACAGCAAATAGATTCAACGTTTTAAATTCTCAGATAATCAATTCCCTCTTTTTTCTTAATTAAATGCTGACAGAAAAAAAAAAAAGAAGGAAGCAGAAGGAAATTATTTCCTAAAACAGGTGTCTCCCAGTTATTTCACCAGTCCACCTGGTTTAGTTCTTAGTACTAGATATGCTTGTTCAGCCAAAAGAAAAGCTGACAATGTATAAAAATCAACAATAGAAGTAAAATAGTTAAGCTTTTAGAACTATTGGCGAATACTTTTCTACACTTTTGACAATATATGAGGAAGTCCTGTCTTATCACCACTTAGTCATCAATTAAAAACAAACAAAAAACCCCCCAAAACCTAGTTCCCAGAGATCGGAACAAGTTGAAAACTGGCTATCATACGTCTTAGGTATATCAGAGTCTGGACGATTTTGGAAGATTTACTAATGCTAAGAGCTAAGAAAAAAAAAGGGGGGGGGAGGGCAG